CCCGTATTCATTTTTTTTCAGCAGACCTGCCTCCATAACTCAGTGAATAAACCAGCAGAACATGTGTAATCAAAGTTTGAAATCCATTTGAAATGAATCTTAGGCTCTGTTTGTTTCAGCTTTAGGACCGCCTTCAGCTTTGCCAGTGAAACTGAATCTGGATTCGGGCCATTTCCAATGCACGTCACGTCAAGGTGTACTTCGGTGGCAAGCTGATCCATGGGTGATTCGGAGCCAACTGAAGGGCCTTCGTTTGAAATCCCAAGTTTTTCCTTCCAAATTTGAGCAGCCGCTGCACCAATCTCCCTCTCTGTCTCCGAAATGGAAGTCCTCTCTCTCACACACAGAGTCACATGCTTAAGTACTGGCATGGCAGCAGTAACACTTTCCCCTCGAAGGGGCATTGCTTGGTATGCATGGTTTGCCCCTCTACCACTGCCCTCCTTGGGTCTTGCTAGGGTAGCGAGCAAAAGCAGAGAGAGAGAGGGAGAGAGAGAGAGAGAGAGAGAGAGAGAGAGACTGACCATCCTAAGATTCCTCTGCGAGCGCTTTATTCCCTTCCACCCTCGCACGTATTTGAGCCAAGCTCGCTCACTCACACACAACACGACACAACGGCTCAAGTTTTTCTCTTTCATTCAAGATTCACTCCTCTTGCCCTCTTCGTCCTCAGATAAGCTGTGTGGTAGGCTACTGGCTACTAGTAGGAGAGGAGTAGGATCGTATTTGGTTCTTCTTCTCCCTTTGCTTGGGAAGCCGGTAAGCTAGCCACGGCATAAGTGTTGCCAGCCAGCCAGCCAGCCCCTCCCCTGCCCGTCCTCACTCGCACTCGCAGAGAGAAGAGAAGAGAAGAGAGGAGAGAATCCACATTTTGTTCTCATCCTCATCAATCCTCTATCTCTCTTTCCTTTCCATCAAATCACAATCTTTGTTTATAGAGTGTATGTAGCCCAACAGTGGCCGCATTGTCTCTACTCCCTCCCTCTTCTTCCTTCCTTCCTTGGCCCCCTCCCAACTCGCTCCCGAGCAACCTGCAGGCTGCAGCTTCGACCCTGGGCTGCTCGCTGCATGAGCGCTGTGCTCCCCTGAGCTGAGCCTGCGCTGAGCAAGGAAAGGAACAATGAGAGATGGCTGCAACACCACCAAGAAGAGCAAGGTACCACCCTCCCATTCCTCTGTCTTCTTCCTCCTGGTTCCTCTGTTTCCTTGTGCCTGAATGCGGTTCGGTTGCTGTGGCTTGTAGCTGTCGTGGTCCAAGAGCTTGGTGCGGAAGTGGTTCAACATCAGGAGCAAGGCCCACGACTTCCACGCCGACGACGCCGCCGCCGCAACGGGGAGGAGAGGCGGCGGCGGCGACGATGAGGAGTGGAGGGGCAGCAGCTTCGCCAGGAACGAGCCGACCAGCGCCGCCAAGAAGAGCCGGACGGAGCGGCCGTCCAGGAGGAGCCGCGAGCACTCGAGGCGGGGCAAGATCGACCTCGACGCCGCCGAGGCCACCGTCACCATGGACTACAGGTTGCTCCGCCGCCCCTGCATTCGCATTATATAATCTATCTTCGTCTCCACTCTCCTGTCCTCTGTGGTCTTGCGTTAATTAAAAAGAAACTGCCTGCAGGATCTTTGTTGCTACGTGGAATGTGGGCGGCCGATCCCCTCCCGGCGGCATGGGGCTCGAGGACTGGCTCCACGCCGCGCCGCCCGCCGACATCTACGTCCTCGGGTAGGTGTCTCCGGGTTTACCCGTGCCGGATTTCGCAATGCTGCAGGTTGGGCTGACAATTTCGATGCCGCCGTGATGTTCGTCCAAAGGTTCCAAGAGATCGTGCCGCTGAACGCCGGGAACGTGCTGGGCACGGAGGACAACGGGCCGGCGAGGAAGTGGGTGTCGCTGATCAGGAGGACGCTGAACGACCTGCCGGGCGCCAGCAGCGGCAGCGGCAACGGGAGCTTCCGGACGCCGTCGCCGGCGCCGCCGGACCCGGTGGCGGAGGCGGACGACGACTTCGAGGGGGCGAGGCATCAGACCAACAACGCGGCCTTCTTCCACCGCCGGTCCTTCCACAGCCGGAGCCTGCGGATGGAGGGCGACGCCCTGGCGCCGCAGCCCAGGCTGGAACGCCGGTACAGCGTCTGTGACCGCGCGATCTACGGCTCCCGCCGGCCCAGCGACTACGAGGCGCACTGCCGGTGGGGCGGGTCGTCGGACGATGACAACAACACCGGGGAGTCGCCCAGCACGGTGTACTCGCCCATGTCGTACGGCTACGGCCACGCGCCGTCCTTGGACGACGGCCATAGGCCAGCTTCTGGTCACACTAGGTACGCTTCAGGTTCCATACCATGTACTCTGTCAACACATGCTATTTTTAATGGAGCCAAAGTACATTATGGTCTAATAAATAGACGTGGTGAGTAATCTGTGCTGCAATCTGTTGTTTTTCAGATATTGCCTGGTTGCAAGCAAGCAAATGGTGGGATTGTTTCTGATGATTTGGGCTCGGAAGGACATTAGGGATGACATCCGAAATCTCAAGGTTTCTTGTGTTGGCAGAGGATTGATGGGCTACCTTGGGAACAAGGTTGGTCACTGTTCGAATGATGTGTTTATCATGATTTTTGCAATGCTCTACATTGTATGAGTTGATCACAAACAAGAGGCATTGTTAGCTTAGATATAGTATTCAACCGGCAAAGGATTTGTTTTCCAGGGTTCGATTTCGATTAGCATGACATTGCACCAAACAAGCTTCTGCTTCGTCTGCAGCCACCTGACATCGGGGCAGAAGGAAGGCGATGAAATGCGGCGGAACTCAGATGTGCTTGAGATCCTCAGGAAGACCAGGTTCCCAATGGTTTACGGGCAGTATGAGCGCTCACCGGAAACTATCTTAGAGCATGAGTAAGCAAGCACAGAACCTTAGAATTGTCCCCTAAAGCTTGTTTTCATGTGCATTTGGTGCAATATTGGGGCCCTTAACGCGCCTTTTCTTTCAGTCGAATCATCTGGCTCGGGGACCTAAATTACCGAATCGCACTTTCGTATCGGTCAGTGAAGGCCCTGGTGGAGATGCGCAATTGGAAAGCATTGCTGGAGAAAGATCAGGTGAGAGCTTGCAAACCTTCTTGATCACAATTTGTGTATGTGTGGTGTGTACCGTTGGGATCCCTGGAAAGCTGTAAAATTGTTATGTCACAGGCAATCAGTGCTTTTGTCTTGTCATTGTTTCACTTTAACATGTTGCAACATTACTAATAGGTCGGCAAAAGCCGAGGAGCTCTTGTTGTTCTCATTATGAAAATGATTACCAGACATTGTAGTAGTATGATCTCATTGACATGTCAACTTGACACTTTCAGCTAAGGATTGAACAAAGAGGCGGGCGGGTGTTTGCCGGGTGGAACGAGGGGAGGATATACTTCCCGCCGACATACAAATACTCGACCAATTCCGACAAGTATGCTGGGGAGGACATGAACCAGAAGGAAAAGAGGAGAACTCCTGCATGGTACATTATTACACTAATGTGCCGGATATTTGCCAGATTTTGTACAGTTTAAGTAAACTTGGTGATCTTGTTGTGCAGGTGCGATCGCATTTTGTGGTATGGAAGGGGCCTGGGTCAACTATCATACGTTCGAGGCGAATCTCGTTTCTCAGATCATAGGCCAGTCTACAGCGTATTCAGTGCAGAGGTGGAGTCGATCAACCACAGCCGAATTCAAAAAATGAGTTGTTCAAGCTCGCAGTTGGACATCGGAGAGCTACTGCCCTACTCTTACGGATACACCGACATCAACCCGTATGGCTACACCGACCTAAATTTCTACTGAAAGGGTCCATGATCTTTGGGAAAACACCCAATGTTCAGTCATGCAACTAGTGATGACAAGGTAGGGTTTGGAGGGTGGTTTGAGTTAGCAGTTAAATGTATGTTCTTCACAGATACTAATACTCTTTCCTATGTCAGGCTGGCGAGAACGGGGCAATTGGACATAAATGCAAGCTTCGGAATTTCTGATAAATCGGTGAACGCCATTCGTATGTCTTGATCAATATTAGTTTGCTAAGCACAAAGAGCTGATTGTATTTGTCACGATCAGAGTCTTGCACATTGGATACTTTCAGAGAATCAGCAAGTGCTTGGCTAGTTTCACAGGATTCAAATAATTCAGTACAGGATACAGGTATGCTCCGGTTGATTTACAGTTTTTATGGTGAACAATACGTCCAATGAACTACTGATCCTAACCAGTCCTCTGTTTTGCAGGTGAGGACGGCGTTCTCCGAACCCCACACAAGATACTCTAAAGACTGCAAGCCAGTGACCACAAAGATTCAAATTATTTCATTTCACTGAATTCAAACTTCAAAGATAGCACTAACAAGGAACCCAGATGACGCACCGAGATGGTCTGTTTCCATATGAGACAGTACGACGATCCAATCATATGTCCAGGAGACTATGGCCGGCCACCCCAGCAAAGATAGATACTGCTACTGATGGCATCGAAAATCGTGCACCAGATTATTTCCTCCCCTTCTTCATATCTGCACATTGTATAGCAACATTGTTGAGAGTGCGGCGTTTCGGTGCTCGGGTGCATCTGCACCCGTTCAAAAAAAAATTCGTAAAAAATTCAGAAAAATTCAAAAAATTCCGAAACAAATTGAGGTGGTGGACAATTTGATGCGTGAGGTGCGCCCCAATTTTCAAAACATTTGGACTTATGTGCAGCTCTCAGCAAAAAAGACAAATCAGACCAAAACAGTATATGAACAGTACACATTTTTACAGACCTCCGATTTATCTTTTTTGCTGAGAGCTGCACATAAGTCCAAATGTTTTGAAAATTGGGGCGCACCTCACGCATCAAATTTTCCACCACCCCAATTTTTTTTGGAATTTTTTGAATTTTTTTAGTATTTATTTTGATTTTTTTGGTGAGCGCAGGTGCAGATGAGCTCGGGCTCAGATTTGGATTTTCGCATTGTTGATCCTCTCTCTCTCTCTCTCTCTTGATTCTCTCTCTCCCCCCCTGTTTCAGACAGCAGCAAGAAGCAGTAGCAGTAGTCCTTTGCACAGTCTACACTTCTCTGCGTGCAGTTTATAAAAGCTTGGGGAAGAAAGAAAAGAAAGAAAGAGAGGGGGCCATGAATGAATGCCTGCATTGCTCCTCATACTATCATCTATCTCATCTCCTCTCCTCTCCATGGATGGATGGGAAAGGGGCGCAGCGCATAGATAGGGAGGGGCCATGGCCATCATTGTTCACGCTCTGCTTCACGAGCAATGTCTGAATCAGCTGAGCTGACCAAAAGGCAGTAGTGGTAGTATTACCTGTCACATTTTTACCAGCCTTCATCTCTGCATGCAGGAAAATTGTGCAGTGCACTGTGCGTTCTCGGCCGGAAAGGCCTTTGTTTACGTTTTACACTGTGTGAAGTGTGGGTGCACGCACGCCATGGAAATGATTTGATTTGCTAGTGCCTCGTCATGACCAGGTTGAGTGGTGGGTGCAGTCTGAAGAGAAGATGAACTGCAGGTCAGGGGGTTCAGGGTTCAGGTACTGTAGTACGTGTAGGCTTGCTGTTTTCGGAGCAAATCATTGTCCAGGAGAGACCCTGCCGTACGAGCAGAAAGAAGCGGTTTAATTTAGCAGTATAAACACTGTCAGATCTCCAACCTACGGCGTGCCAAAATGCTGTCAGATCATATCTCAGACTCAGCATGCTAATAGCTCTATGTGATTAGCTTTTAGTTTTAGCCTACTTTTTCAGCCGAAGGAACTGGCTAGCCCTAGTGCCTTTGCTCATTGGTCTGTTAGCACAGGGTTACCTTGGTGTAGTACCTTGAAAAGAGTGAGCTGGAGGAAACGACAGCCATCATTTCCGCGGGCCGCAAACAACTGTGAATTTTACCCAAACCCTACTTATCTCATCAAGTATGCGGACCTTTGCTAAGAGCATCTACAACTGGAACTCCCACATCCGCCCGCAAACACCCGGGCGGACTGTCTACTCACTGCCTGAACCCAAAAACAGCACCTTAGCGGGCTCCCAAAAACCAGCCCAAACGCCCGGGCTGTCCAGCAACCCCCATATTCAGCTAATATATGGAGCGGATATGGGAAGGCTCGGACACGCACGAACACTGCTGCCATGTCGGATCGGCCCACTATGGCTTGCCTCGCCCCCACCACTGTCCCCTCAAAACCCCCATCTGGTCCGACGAACCCTAGTCAAACCCCACTCCTCTCAATATTCTCGCCCTCTTCGCTCCCCTGAGTCTCCTCCCCTTCCTTTCCCCAATCTTTATCGTTCCACCGCCATGGCCAAGTTCGGCAGCGACTCCAGCAGCGATGCGGATCCCATGGACTGGGACGACCTCGTGAGGACTTCGGCTCCGGCAGCGATGTGCTAGACGACGAGGACTCGCGCTGCGCATCGTTCTCAAGCAGTTGCAGCTGGAAACCGGCGGGAGCTCGAGCTCCATGGCATTCGCCGCCAGCTCCTCCGGGTCCTCATATTAGGCAATTATCGTTGTAAATTAGATAGCCCATGCCTTCCTACAACATCTTTATGAAGACCTGGAGGAGTGGCTCGGGCGTATAGGGCCTCATATATTAGGCAATTATGGTTGTAGACGCTCTAAGCAACCGGAGCACCGAGAACCGCGTGTTGTTTATGGCGGCGTGCATTCGGTAGAGTGGACAGCCAAAGAGATGTTTATTATTACTCACCGTGTATGACGGTATAGTTCTCATATTGGTCCTCCATCAGTTTTTCTTTCGAGTACCGGCCCTCCATCGTCATGAATTGTATTTTCCTTTTTATTGTATATTACTCTTTTTCATAAAGATGATGTAGCAAGGCATGGGCTATCTAATCTACACAGTGTTATGCAGAGATTGGGTGTAAACACTTTTGTTGATTGTATCTCTTTCATCTTATCGAGTACAAAGAGATTTCATTTATCGAGAAAATCTATATCGTCAAGTAAGGTAGTAGCATGTTTGGGTGCATATTTGGATGTCTTCACCCTCTGCCATACTTTCGCATGATCATGCAAGTAAATGTGTACGTCACTAGTAGAAAACAGTCCTTTGACCCGGAGCATTAGTCCTAGCCGGGTTTAGGCCCGAGACTAATGTGATCATTAGTCCCGATTCCAACGGCTAGGAGCAGACGGGGGCACGGCCACCTTTAGTCCTGGTTCAAATGGGACCTCTAGTCCCGGTTTGTTGATACCAACTGGGACTAAAGGGGTGGCGGCATGCTGGCGTCAGGCTGGGGGCCCTGTGAGCCCCTTTAGTCCTGATGGGTATCACCAACCGGGACTAGAGGTAGACCTTTAGTCCCGGTTGGTATCACCAACTGGGATTAAAGATATCCCTATATAAACCCCTGCTTCGTCCAGCCTGAGTCCAAGCTTTCTCCTTTATCCCCTCTCTGTTTCCTTCCCCTAGCTCGAGCTCATCCTCCATTTTTGCCAAGATTTGTCAAGATTTGGGGCACCCCATCTATCCAAGGGTTCTAAAAGGTTAGAAACTTAATCCTTTCATCTCTCATTGCTAGTTTAGCTCGTTTCATGCTCTGCAAGTATAGTTGGGAGTAATTATGTGGGAGTTTATTTGATTTATATGCAATTTGAGCTCAAATTAACTTCTTAGTTTGCATATGTGTAGGTGTGGTTTATTTAGTGCCTTCCCATCCCCGTCCTCACCGTCGTCGATCCCGCGTCGTCCCATCGCCGGTACCACCTTGGTGAGCCTCTTGTAAATCACATATAGTGCCATGGTTTAGATAGTTACTTGTATAATTTTCTTACTTGCATGATTGTTTTTTATGTGCCATGGTTTTAATATCCGTCCCCGTCGGCCCTCGCCCGGTTTATGATTCGAATGTGGTATATTATCTTTTATAACTATTTGTTTCATTTCGTGTTTATGACAATTGTGCCCATCAAGTTGACATAGATATTTTTATCTAGGAGGTATGTGAACCGGAAATTGCAACCGCCCCTCTTGTCGAGAAGTTAAATTTAGTTGAAAAAGAAAACGATTATTTGAAAGAAAAATTGAAAAGAATTGAAGAAGACGAGATAAAATTGGAGTTGTATGTTGTCGATGTCGTCGATGATCACAAGATCAAGATGGATGCAATGCCGTTGAAGATTAGAAAGATTAGAAAATGTGTCGTTAATAAAGAAGCTTGGTATCATTATGTTGTTGGATCAATTATTACCTTAGTTGCGAGTTTCATCGCATTTGTTGTTGCATTTAAATGCTTTAGCTAGATAGTTGTATGTTGTTTTACGAGAATAAGTATGTATGAACTTGTATATAAATTGGTCTTTTCGAAGTTGTGTAATGAAGATGAGCCGACAATGGATGTACAATGACCACGTTTTCCCCAGTTCATTAATGGCGTGCATATTTTTCTGTGTGCGGCTGGGGCAAACAAGTGGAATGGTTTTATATGTTGTCCATGTGGTGTCTATAAGAATGATAGGAATTACACTACCTCAAAAATCTTTCACAACCACCTGCTTTAGTCCGGTTTCATGTCCGGCTATAACTGTTGGACCAAGCATGGAGAAAGAGGGGTTATATTCAAAGACAATGAAGAAGAAGAGGATGATGACAACTATCCTAGGTTCCCTGAATACGATGGTACTATAATGGGGGAAGAAGCTGAAGAAGAGACCCTAGATGAGCCCGCTGATGATCTAGGTCGGGCCATTGCTGATGCAAAGAGAAACTGCGCAAGTGAAAAGGAGAAGTTGAAGTTGCAACACATGTTAGAGGATCACAAAAATTATTGTACCCAA